GCCGACACGTTCTTTCTGCCACAACATTGTTGCCATACGTTTCACAAATAATTTTGATTGCTTCAGCTGCGGTTTTACCACGATGAAAATATTGAAGCATGCAATGGCGAAGATATACCGTTTCAACGTTCACGTTCCATTGAACTGAAACTATACTTAACTGTGAAGTAGCCAACTGTCATAGTGTTGTTAAAATGTATGTTAGCCAACTTTACTAAACAAAACAAACATTGGTTTCGAAAGTCTCAATATGCCGTTGTCAATACCATTTAAAGTAAGCGGCGCGAACTTAGTTATATACCTAATAAAAAACTTGTAAATAATAAGTTTTGCAATATTTTGATAGATTTTAATTTTTTGACAGCCATATTAGATCCACTACTTTGAATGTGGATATTTTTAACCTCAAATTCAGCGAACGAAAGAACTTTTAAATACCGGGTTTTGTGACAATCATATAGGTTTTACATTTTTAGTCGCCATATTGAATCGGCTATTTTGAATTTTGATCTCAAATTTATATTCAGCAACCTGGAAACATCCTAAATACATAGTGTCTTTAGAATCACGTCACTTTTGTGCCATCAAGGGCACAAATAGTGAAATTCTACGTTCCTCGTAAGGGGTTAAGATATTCCGTCCGGCAAATGAGAAGGTCCAAGTTCGATTTCTGACTGGGGCAATATTTTTCGCAATATTTAAGAGAATCAATTAATACTCAATTAATAGTTCGCCGGTATTTGGATATTATTAATAATTGGAATATAGGGTAGCGGTTCAAAGTGAAAGATAGTTTTCTCCTTACGTTTAAAAAGTCTAGGAAATAAATCGATGAATGTGTTTACACTGTCAAACATTATCCTCCTATAAAAATTTAATAAATGTTCGTACCAACAATTACGCTTGGCTCTTACTAGCTTTTCTGTTTTCGATTGTACATCTTGAGAGCCTAATACAATTTAATTTATATTAACACTTTAATGGCCGCTCACACAACATGTGTGTGATAGCCGGAACAACTGTTATTGTCCGCTCACACAACATGTGTGTGATGCTACCGCCGAAGATTATTGGCCAGTAGCACACTCTCTGTGTGATGATTTATGATTGTAAACAAGGATTATTTCGTGAATTTTAATAGTTTTTTTTTTAATTAATTTTTCAAAAAAGTTGCCCCTGGCGACGTTTGACTACGTAGACGTGCGGCCATTAAAGTGTTAACACCATTTAAAGTAAACGGCAGGAATTTAGTTATATACCTAATACGTAGCATATGTCTTTCGAACCATGTTTTTCCTTCTTTACACAGTAAAATATGTCTTAATTCAAGCAAAAGTTAGAATATATAAGTTTCATAGGGCTCTGTAAATTAATTCTTTAGCAGCTAAGTTTTTTAATAGTTTCACAAATTAATTTTATGGTGAATCGAACTTATTAGACATCAAATATGTAAAAAAATTTTTTCCAAAATTTTGCTATAACTTAAATTACCTTTACATGTAAAAGCCTTTTAGAGTTAATTACAACTCTTATTGTTGTTAGAAGAGATTATATTATGATTTGACAGTTTTTGCACTGATTATTTGCTGTCATTGTATTTTCATTTATTCGCGCCGCGCGGTGTGTGGTGGAGGCTGTTATTTCGAATCAACTGCATTTTTTTAGTGGAAAGAATGTATCAATACTGACAATCGAAGGGCGATCCTCCGGATAATAAGCCATCAACAGTAAACAGAGAGAATCGCACGAGCTTTTAAGCCGAGTTGATATTTAGCGAACTTTCCAACGTTTTTCTTAATTAATTCTACGGAGTACGATTAATATCTCGAGGCTGTAAATACAAGCTTTGGTTTTCTTTGAACAAGTGTGTTCATTTGATATCCGGACGTATGTGAACGCGTAACATTTTAAACAGAAGCTAATGTATTTTAGTCGGAGACTCCGCCTAGAATTGTCCTTTTGCCCTACAGAACAAGCACTTGTTGGTGTTCACATTCTTATAATTTTGTCGGGAATGTAATTGCAATGTCGGCTTTAATCTTTCTGGTGTAATTTTGCCGATCTCTTGAATTTTTACACAAAATTTCACGATTTCTACTATCTTTTTCTGAAAATTGATCTATCCATGGTTGTACGAAATTTCGATCTACAATGAGTTTAACTAATTTCGTCCGTTTTATAGCTACCTTTAGTGACATTACACTTTATAGCTACCTTTAGTGACATTACACTTTCCAACTGTAGAGTTCGTTTCAGGAAACCCTCGCTCAATCCATCAACGAATTGCGCGTACGCTAATTTATTTTTAACATAAGCACATTCAGGATATACGAATCAAACGCTCCAAATCATTTCCAAATAACGCAAAATTTTTCTCTACGCAACTTTTTATTTGCGAATTGCATATAATCTTACAAACAATTATGTGTAATCTTACAAACAATTATGCTCTCTGAAACACAGCTCCAATTTCAATTTTAGATCCGAATATTCAGAATCTCTCTCTGAATACCAGCAAAGAATGTTGGTCTTGTGAGGTAAAGGGATATTTCCAGGCGGATTATCCGGCCTAATCCGATTAGCTTTTTTTCAAAATATTATGCGCCGCGTCACTCGCGTCACTTACATCCGGATATCTAATAAACACATTCGTTTAAAGGAAACCAAAGCTTGTATTGGGTTAGCCAATAATTCCGTGTGGTTTTTGCCGATAGATGATTTTCTTTTAATATGCCGATACATAGACTTAGGCGATCCAACCTAATTCTGTATTTAGTCCAAATCTTGGGAGTATATAGTCATTGACAGGTAACATTTAAACGTGAATTTAAATAGAAAATAGCTTGAAAATTTATTGTGTTTTGTGTCTTTGGCGTCATTTGAAAAATGGATAACCAAAATGAGCATTTTTAACATATTACGCGTTTTTATTAAAAAAAAAAACAAAAACGCGGCAGAAACCCCAAAAAATATATGCAGTGTATAACGAGGATGCCGTGAAGAAAAGTAGGTACCAAAAGCGGTGTGTGAGAGATTTCGTTCAGGAGATTTTTCTGTTCAAACCGCACCACGCTCAAGCCTACCAGTTAAGATCGACAACGACAAAGTGAAGGTTTCAATCGATACCAATTCACACTACACGACGCGAGGAATTGCAGACGCTCTCCAAATATCGAAATCGAACATGGAAAATCATCTGCATTAACTTGATTATGTTAGTCGGCTTGAATGTTTGGGTTCCGCACTAACGCGTATGAAGCTCATCTAATCGCACTTCCATCAGCGATTCCCTTAGAAAACGTGAGAAAAACGATACATTTCTGAAGGGCATAGTGACGGGCGATGAAAAATCTTCTACAACATCAAACACAAAAGACTGTGAGGCGCAGTGAACCGCTAAAAAGCATTTCGAAGGCAGAGCTTTACTCGGGCAAAGTTATGCTTTCAATTTGGTGGGATTGGAAGATTGTATTCTACGAGTTTCTTCCGAAGAACAAAACGATCAATTCAGATATGTACTGTGCTCAGCTGGACAAATTGAACGCAGCGATCCATGAGAAACGTTCTAGAATTGGTGAATCGTAAAGACATCGTCTTCCGTTACGACAACGCCAGGCCGCGTACATCTTTGCAAACCCGGCAAAAATTATTAGGGCTGGCACGTCTTACCCATCTTCTATTTTCAACAAACCTTGCCCTTTTAGATTACCACCTGTTTCGCTTCTTGCAGGATTTCTTAAATGGACAGCATTTCGTTCCCGAGGAAGCCATCAAACTTGAAACAATTGTTCGCAAAGAAAAACAGGAAGTTCTTGAGCGAGGAATGTTGAAGCTGTCCGAATGATAGCAATAAATAGTGGGTCACAACGGCCAATTTTACATTGTTACATACATCGTTGTATGTACATTGTTGACTACAGTTATTGCTTTCCATAAAGAATTCGTCTTTCATGTAAAAATTCGCATAGAATTATTGGCCAATTCAATATTTACAGAATCGTACTATTAACTCTTTGCACTTCGAATTATGTTTCAAAATCATATAAAACGAGTACTTACAGTATTTGTACTGAGAGGTCTTATGCTATATTGCTATAATATTGTACGAATAATATAATATAATATTGTACTAATTGAATAAGTTCTCTCGAGTAAGACAAAGCGGCCATTAAAATTAACTGGAGGAAGTTCAAATGTGAAGATTTTGCGTCGATAACGTGTGCGCGACATCTATTGCTTTGGACTTGAAAAAATGTGGAGTGAGACTCGACAAAGGAGCTCCTGAGGTAAAAACTGATATCGAGTCATATTCAACATAGGAGTGCAAAAGGTTAATCGTGCTTGTATAATTAATTAAGAAAAACGGCGGAAAGTTCGCCATACGTCAGTTTGGCTCGCAAGCTCGTGTGTAACTTTTTTTTTTATTGTTGACGGCTTATCGTTTGGGAGATCGTTCTTCGATTGCCAATATGGTATTGACTGGATTGGATTTTCCATCAAAAGGATGCACGTTGATTCAACAGATGATCCAAAATAATAGTCACCACCACACATCACGCGCCTCAGAAACAAAATCTTGATATGGGATTCATGTTTATTATTTTTTTCCAGAACAAATATGACTGCAAAATCTAATAAAATGTTAGACGTAATAAAATATTAGTTGTATTAATTAATTCGTGTCTCCCAACTTTGCACAAAAATATAAATTATTTGAATTTAAGTTATTGTCGCGTTTTTTTTTTTGTTATTTTAAAGTATTGACATTCAAGATTAAAATATGTCATGTATTTTGACATTTACGCAACATAACCTTCAAAATCAATAGTAAAAATTATGGCCGACGATAAAGAGTATGTTCGGTACTGTATACGTTTTGCGTTTGATTTCAATAAAAACGCTTCTGAGACAACCGAAATAATTTGTTTTGCTTACGGAGAAGATAAAGTGAGTGAAAGAACGCACAAAAAATGGTTTAGTTTTCAAGACAGTGATTTCAGTGTTGACGATCAACCACGTGTTGGGTAGCCTTGCAAGTTTGAAAACGATGAACTACAGGCGCTATTCGATATGAGCCCGACTCAAACACAAAAAAAATTTGCCAAACAGCGTGGAATGATGCAACCAACGGTTCGATTGCACCAGCTGGGAGAAATTTACAAAGAAGGAAGGTGAGTTCCACATGAGCTGACTGCTGACGATAAAAATCGTCGATTGACTACGTGTATTTCTTTACTTGCCAGAGAACAGAAAAACTATTTTTTGCGCAAAATCGTGAACGGCGAAAAATGTATTATGTACAATAATTCTCTTCCCAAAAAATACTGAGAATAATATAAGCAAGCTAAAGATGAACCCAGATACTCCGTGGCTGTCATATGCACACATAACTGAACTAAATTCCACCAATGCGCAGGGAATACAAGCGAACAACAAGATTATGGAAGTCAAAGAAGACGGCAATAGAACAAATGATGATATGTTGATATTATTCAAGGAACTAATAAACCAGATGAACAAGATAACAAACTTAATTGTCAATATGCAGTTACATTCAACTCAATAAAAATTGCTTTGTGGAATGCCAATGGGCTAACTAAACATGCGCTTGAACTAAAAACCTTCATAAAGATGAATGGCATTGATGTTATGTTAATATTAGGTTGGGGAAATAGAAATTCATTATTTTTACGTGAACTTCAAGACTTTATTTAACATGTTTCGGATTGTCCGATTTGGTTCAAATATGCACTATTTAACATGTTTCGGATTGTCCGATTTGGGTCAAATATGCACCGTTTTGTTTTATAATTTGTTGCCATTTTAAAGGTAGCTTCATAATGCCTCTCTCATAGAAGTCTTGGTCCCTATTGGCGAAAAACTCTAGTAATCGATTTTCACAATCTTCTCTTGATGCCAATTTCTTATCACTAAGGAAGTTTTGCAATGTAAGAAAAACATGGTAATCGCTTGGTACTGGACTATATAGTGGATGCATCAAAACTTCCCAACCGAGCTCCCGGAGTTTCTGGCGAGTCACTATAGACATGTGTGGCCTGGCGTTATCCTGATGGAACACAACACCTCTCCTGTTGGCCAATTCTGGCCGTTTCTGGTCAATCGCTAGCTTCAAACGGTTCAGTTGTTGACAGTAGAGATCTGAATTTAGTGTTTGGCCATATGGAAGTAACTCATAATAAACGATTCCTTTCAAGTCCCACCAAATACACAGCAGAACCTTCCTGGCCGTTAGTTCTGGTTTGGCCACCGTTTGAGCTGCTTCAGCGCGCTTTGACTACGATCGTTTTCGCACAATGTTGTCGTATGTGACACATTTCTCATCCCCAGTCACCATCCGTTTAAGAAATGGTTCGATTTCATTCCGTTTGGCCAAGGCTTCGCAGATGGAAATTCGATCCATCATGTTTCTTTGTGTTAATTGGTGTGGCACCCAAACATCGAGCTTCTTTTTGAATCCAGATTTGTGCAAATTGTTTAAAACTGTTTTATGGTCGATCTTTAGCTCCTGGCCGATGCTACGACTGCTAACATGCCGGTCGATTATTTCTGTGATTTTATCGACATTTTCGATGACGGGCCTACCTGTGCGAGGTGCATCTTTAACATCAAAAATCCCTGAACGGAATCGACGAAACCAAAATTGCACGTAATTGGCTTTTACAGTATCGGCACCATAAACACCATTCACAATTACAGCCGCCTGGCTTGCATTTTCGCCTTTATCAAAGAAAAACTGTAAAATGTACCGAATTTTCTCTTTGTTGACTTCCATTTTTAACACCCTGTAACTCACAACTGAATGGACCAAACAAAAAACAACAAAAGAATTTTTTTAGTGCGAAATATCACCTTTCCAACGAGCATAAATCTGAAATTGTTTGATCGATACTTTGTGAGATATCGATCACTACAGCCATCTACCGAAAAAAATAATGGATTTCTTTTTTCCCAACCTAATAACTGAAACCCATTTCATTAATAAAAACTTTTTCCATGCCAAAATATGTTTTATCACACTATGCACCCTAGTTGCTCTGCACATGGCAGGTCCGCTGTCATAATTAAAGGTAACATTAGATATCTTGCAGCAAAGTCCTTCAGAGAAAATCACATCCAAGCCACAAACATTAGGTCTGTTTGTTTTCGCTGCACCACTGAACTAGTGCAATAAGTTGAAATGAGAAAACATATACTTCTCTCGCTTCAACTTATTGCACTAGTTCAGCGGTGCAGGAAAAACGAACAGACCTATAGTCGTTAGGGATTTGAATGGTTCTGTCACATTTTCGCCAATTTACTGCCCACCTAAATTTAACATTTAGGAAGAAAATTACAAAACGGTATTTGAACTACTTGGGTCGCGCTTCATTGGAGGCGGAGATTTTAATGTCAAGCATACACATTGGGTGTTTAGGCTAACTACACCAAAAGGGCGCGAGCTGTACTAAGCGATTAACTGAACTTCAAAGTAATCTGTACTGGACAACCCACTTACTGGCCAGCAGACAAAAATAGAGTTCCTGATCTCATTGACTTTGTGGTTGTTATGGGCGTCTCCAACCGATATACAGATTGTAAAGCTAACTTTAACTTGTCGTCTGACCATATTCCTGTTCTAATTATCTTGAGCAGCCAAGTTTTACCTAAAGAGTATCCCTGCAGATTCCACAATAAGAGGACAGACTGGAACTTATTCCGCGAACTTGTATCAACCACTCTAAACATTGATATACTCGCAGATAATAACAATAAACTAATGGAGGCAGTACAGCACTTTAACGATTGTGTGCAGCAGGCTGCTTGGAAAGCTACTTCTAGGCCTGCTGGGACTAGTTGTATTTATGAATACTCACAGAATATTAGGGAAAAAATCACCAGAAAAAGGAAAATAAAGAAATTGTGGCAGAGAACAAGATGTCCGAAAACAACAAAAAACAACTGAACCTAGAAATGAAAGAGCTAAAGATAATGCTTGTAAATGAAAGAAACAATGGGGTTCAACATTATCTAAGTAATCTTGATGCCACAAGGGCTACAGACTACTCATTATGGAGGGCGACGAGGAAATTGAAACAACCTCAAGAAATTTCACCACCTTTACGGAAAGCTGACAAGAGTTGAGCGGTGAGCGATCTGGAGAAGGCTGAAACATTTGCTACTCACCTTAACCCATTAAGTCCGGGAAGAGCACAATTTTCATACGATGTTTGAGACATATTTTCTGCAGAAAAAAATTGAAATAAAAAATTTCAAACATACATATTCTACTATTTTTGAGATCGCTCTTTCGATTGGTGCAGTCAGAATTGCATAATAATGACTCCAAAAACCAATATGGTGCATTTTAAATAAATAAATAATAAAATTTTTTGCATTTTGTTTCTTTGTGAATTATTTTCGCATCAATAAAATTACTGAATCGATGCCGAAGCACAACTAAAAGTGCACAAAATATTTAAACTATAACTAGAAATTTTTTTGTTTTGCTTTGAATTAACCTAACCTCTTCAAGATATCAATATGTAAAAAAAATGAACGTTATTTGATAAATTATGAACATTATTAAAAAAATTCTAATCTCTAATGGTATAATTGTTCCGAAAATATATATACAAGGATTTTTGAGGTCGCTGATCACGAATTTGAGGTTAGATTTTCAAAATTCAAGATGGCGGATCCAATATGGCCGACCAAATTATATAAAATACTTCAAAATTACGAGAAAATGTGTATAAGGGTGTTTTTGAGGTCACTGATCACGAATTTTAGGTTAGATTTTAAAAATTTAAGATGGCGGATCCAATGTGGCCGACCAAATTTCATGAAATGACTGTAAATCATGCCATAATGTTTATTATACGGGAAATTTACGCAAGATAATTGGTTGTTTCCGTCCGTTAACCATTTCATGTAAACGTTTCCTAACTGGAACCTTGTAAAACCTTTATATTTTTATATTTCAAATTTAGTTACTTATCACTTGTAAATTAGGGCTAATAATTTATATTCAAATATTCGTAATTTTGAATATTCGAATATTCGAAGTTATTTGAAAAAATCTCGAATTCGAATTTTCCGAATAATCCAATACTTGAAGGTCAGAAAAAAATTGAATGTTTGAATATTTGAATAGTCAAAAATTAAAAATTTGAAAAATTATAATTAAAAAAAATTAATTTCATCGTTATTTTAATTATTTAAAAATTTAAATATTTAACTTTTTGAATATTTGTTTGTACGAACATTTGAAAATTTTAATATTATTCGTTTCTTTAAATATTCGAAACTTCAAATAATATTTAATAATTCAAATTATTCCAAGCTTCAAAATTTCGAATCTTCGTAAAATTTGAACCCCTACTTCTAATATCTTCATCACACGTTACTAGTCCGATTTCACTTTCGAATACTGATATTGTTTATCCTATCCAACTGTACGTACTTCTTTGATATCCGAGTATTTTTTCTTTGCCGAAAAAAATAATTTATTTTCGACTTCCTTTTTTTCTACTCGCACCTACTATTAGTTGAAACATGGCACCAAAACGCAAACGAAAGTCAACAACTAATCGGGTGAATTATGAGGTTGACTCATCAGATGATACTTATGATCAAATATTACTCCTTCCAAATTCAAATGATTCTGGAAGCTCAGATGAAGAATCCGATAATGATCACGATGGCGCTGTAATAGATGAAATTCTATACGATTCTTCATACACAAAAGTATCTAGGTCATACGATGATAACCAAACAAAGTTAGAGGAAGATCATGAGTACGTTTGAGTTGACGGTGAGAGGAAGTATAACAATAAACTAATAAACGAATGTTTTCTCAATGTAAATCAAATAAAATCTATACGTAAATCTTCACATGTTCAACTATTTGAACACTTTTTTTCAATCGAAATGAAAAATTATATAGTGGAAGCCACCAAAGAGAATCGGTATACTCTAAATTTGGATGATTTGAACACTTATTTAGGAATTCTCATTTTATCAAGTTTCAACAAACGTAAATCTCAAAAAGATTTTTGGTCACTTGACCCTCTTTTATGTTGTGATATAGTTCGATCTGCCATGCCACGTGATACATTTCTTGAAATAAAATCGAAAATAAAATATTCAAAAACTAGCGACGAAAAAAAAGATGATAAAGCTTGGCGAGTTCGGATATTGCTGGACAAATTTCGTAAAAATATTCAAAAATTTGGTTTTTTTGAATCTGCGTTATCGGTCGACGAAATGATGGCTAAGTCCTACGCCAGAACCAGCTTGAAGCAATTCATTCGCGGAAAACCGATACGATTCGGTTTGAAATTTTGGGGACTTTGTTCAGCAAACGGATATTTATT